AATTTTAAAGAAGTAAAGAAATCTGCAAAGTCGGTAACTAGCTTTAAATTTGTGGTTCACTTTCCCCCACAACAGAGGGACGACAGAATCCTGGGCAGATTTTCTTATTTCATCAGTTAACACGGGCGTTATTTAAGGTGCTTATTCAATGGTAATACTCAAGTATTCAAATTTCGGATTATTCTTCTGATAAACGTGAGTTATCACTTTCCCGTACAGGCAGTGAAGGCAAATTAAGTAATGTCTTTCCTATTCTTAACCCTTTTAATCTGGTGAGCTAGCTTGGAAGGTAAAAGTTCGAAAGGTAGGTCCCAACGTACTACGACGAAAGAAGAAGGCGAAGAAAAGTGCAAGAAAAGTTTCATCAATAGAACCATGAACCCGAAGTCAAGAATCTACAATTGTAATTACCGTTACACAGTGCTTGAGTCGCGGATTACCTTTACTATTCATTTCCATTTTGGTTCCTAATAGTTTGATCTCATATATCAAGAACTGCGTCACTCGCTGCTTTTCCAGTTTCTTTGTATTACGCATGATGTTCTTGTCTTCTTAATAGTTATTTATTATATAAGACTCTAAAGGGATTTTTTAACCATTGAGTGAATGAGTTTCACGAGATGGTTAGTTTCTCTTTATCATCGTGTATAATACAAAACTATATTTCATAGCAGAAACCATATAAATCATTGTGAAGCTGCTGACTATTCTGAATTTAATTTAGAGATGTCAAAAATAGCAAGCTTAGGTATAGAAACAGAATTGTTATATGTTTTGAACGTAATTTTACATCGTGCATTGGAAATAAGAATGACAGATGTCATTATAATGCACAATCATTTGTTTCACTTTATCTACTTTATCTTTATCTATTTACGATAATTCAACCGCTTTAACCGGATTGGTAGAAATCACCATAGATACAATTATTGTGGCAATAATTGTATACATAGCAAAATCTACCAACCCGGTTTAACCGGTTGAATTATCGTAAATCCCCTTTCGTTATCCTACGGTTAAAGATCGGCTTAGCCTACTCATTCAAACCTATTAAAATGTCAATTTAACATATGCTATAAAATAATTTCCACTTGCTTTTTTTTTCTTTAACACTTCTTTAATTTCACTACTCCCCCCACAACGTTTGTTTAAATTTTTGTTTTGTTTTAATTGCATCACATACGGTTTTGGCTGTCTCAAGTAATTTTTAAAGCAATTCCACAATTCTACTATGCTGTTTCTTTTCAGTTCTAATATTTAGCAAGTTCACTTTCAGTTTGTTTTCAGGTAGTTCTCTGCTTTCGGGTGTAATTCGTACAGCTGTATTTGGTACAATTTTGATTTTCGCTTGCAACTATGAAGTGATCGCTGTAGATTTCAGGTTCTCTTTTTACTCTTTTTATTTCCTCTACGCGTCTCGCTATAATCTATAATTAATTTGTTCAACCCGGTTTTTGATACCTTGGTAAACTGACAAATATATCATATTCCTAGTCATATTCACTATTATATGATTATTTTCCAAGCTATAATTAATCATTCAGATTCCATTATTGTTCTTCACCTTTTTTCCAAACTTTCCGATTACACTATCCCCTCCACTCGCATCATTTTTTGCTCTTCTCTTGAAATCCCCAATTTTTCTTTATGGACCTCTGTTAATGTTTACTAGAGTTTGTTGTTTTTATTCATTAAACGACCCCGCTATTAGCTATATATGGATGTCCTATCTTGGGCAGCTCGGAAACATTACGAAGATCGTCAAATTAGGGAAAAGTTCCGCAACAATTAAGGAGTAATTATCATTCCGATTACTTCCGAAGATATTCTAGAAAAACCGAAATATGTCGATTGCTTTTTTTATTATCGTCTGATGTTATTTGAACAGATAATAAAAACACTTTCTCATTGCCACTTTGTGATCTCTACAAGACACCGTTGAGAGATTTTCAATGTCACGATTCGTTTCGGAGAGATCACCATCAACGTTTCATATGGCCGGCAAAAAAAGTACATACTGTATTCAGTAGCATTTTTTAGTACGAATACAACTATGTACAGGAACACAAAAAAGGTGGAAACCGTCGGTTTCAACAGGAGGGTGCACCTCCACACAAATCCTGCGAGAATACCTTTCGGACAAATTTTCTGAAAAACGAAAAAATAAGTCCGAAAAAATCCAATTAAATTCAGAAACAAGTCTGTGCTCAGATTTAGTGATGCCGCCGGGACGAGACTTCGAGACGAGACCAAGGTTCAGTCTCGTCTCGTCTCATCTCGTCTCGAGGAGATGAGACTCTCCATCCATCCATCTTTTTGATTGGTAGTTCGTTTTGGTCGCCATATTGGGGCTAAAATGCTATAGATACTTTAGTGTGAGTTTACACTTTTTTGTATTCTTGCGAAATTCTGTGAATAAAGGCGCTTAAGGTAAAATGTGTATTGGGGACATACTACTTATATTACCAGATACATTTTATTAAAGCTAATATTTTTTAGCTGCAGAATGGTAAAGAAAAGTTTTAAAATACGTATAATTATGCTTTGTGATTAGCAGATAGATAAGGAAGGTCATTATTATTTTATTTGTCATGCCTTCGTGGTGCCTTTTGTATGCTCTACAGTCTACACCATTTTTGGATAGTATGGCGAGACCACGCGAGACTACACGAGACGAGACGAGACTGAACCAGAGCGAATCGAGACTTTGAGTTGGTCTCGTCTCGAGGTCACGAGACGAGAAAAGACCTTCGAAAGTCTCGTCTCGTCTCGCGGCAACACTACTCAGATTTCAAGAATTTTAAATATGTCGGCTAAATTAATTACCTACTCGATCTAATTTAATTATAATCAAAATTGAATTTTAAAAAATAATTAAATTAGATCGCGAAACTATTCGACCAATAACAGGGCGGATCCGTGAATCAGACAGACAAACAAACTGCGGATTAAAATAATTCGAGTGGGGGAAAGTGTAATCTTACTACTCTGGGTTGTTCGAACTGCCACAATAACTCTTACACAATTAATATCGAATATAACAAGCGCTTAATTACTAATTTAACCAATAAATTAAATATCCTATCAAATTAATTCTGCAAATCAAATTAAATTCACCAATAACTCTGAGAAGTCGTTATTAAAAGCGGAAATCGGAAACAAAATTTAATTAAGCCATCTAATTTAATCATACTCAAACAAATAATTAAATTAATTAAAACAAATCGGGAAACAGTGAAATTAATCGACCAATCACAGCGCGGTTCCGCCAATCAAACCGCGAATTAAATTAATATGAGTCGTAAGCACCCTTACTACTCGTGGTTGTTCGAACTGCCACAATCAGCCCTGTGATGTCAAACTTAACGTGCAGGTTATCTCCCAAAAAATTTTGCGTTATTTAGTATTGGCAAAATGACGTTTTTGACAAATAAACAGCACGTTAAATTTAACGTTAGTGATACATCACAGAGCTGATTATCTAGTTTTTAACTGATTGGGCGACATTATAGCTCGCTGCCCACCCTTAATAAGGAATAATTTGGAGGCTAAACGATCAATTCTACGAGTAAAAAGATGTTTCAACGATATGTCACTTGACGTAATTTACGATTTCTGGGGGTGAAAAGAGGTGAAGCGCTTAGTGAGGTCGCATTTTATCGATGTACCTCGAAGAAAAATGGTGTCCGAATGATTTTTTTTTTAAATTGATCTAATTTACAGCAATGTGCTGTATCAGGTATTTGCTTTTATTTGAGGGAAATGGGGATTAGTTCTTTTCAAATAATCCTTACTAAACAACCGCATAGTGTTACATAAAGCTTATCTATGTTGTCATATAATTACCAAATATCTTCTTCTAAAAACATGGTGTTCCGAAAATAGGTCATATCTGCCTTAAACTTTGACCAAACCGTTTACCCTGTCAGTGAATCGCTGAATCTTAAGCTTTTACTGAACATTTTTTTTGTAACAGTGTAACAATCTCTCGTCAATTGTCTAATTTCGTCGTCCATGCGATTTGCGAACGTTTTGTAGTCGAATTCTTTGTCCGAGACTCCATTCCGTTGCTTTTGAATCGTACTCCGTTTAATCTTAACCTTTGTCTGCATTTCTATTATGTACTGAATTACTTTACTGTACTGTTTCGTCTACCTTATTCTGAGTAATGGATCGAGGGAGCCATTTTTAATATATATGATTAGTGTAGAACATGGAAAATTTGTAGATTTTAGTAAATAAAAGAGATAGTGTTGATGCGTAACACGTTTTGTGTGCCTTAATTGGAAAAAGGCTACGCTAACGATGTTATTTTTCAATAAAAACGGCAAATGGGTCGAAAATAATATTTTCATTCGACGGTGGTAGACAATTTCCTCGTATGCGCATTTATCGTTTGGTTGGAGGCGAGAAGGGTGTCAAAGCTAAATAATTTATTGACATCCCAACTCTCTTTGGCACTTTTTAATATTACACTTAAACCGTACAGTACGTATATGTGGATTTATCTTCAAAAAGGGTTTTCCTTTATATACGACAAACTGCACTACTCGAATTTCTCGAAGGGTTTTTACTGTCAAAATTAACACAATTTAAATGTCATCGCCAAATTTACGCACTTGGGTTTAGACTAAATGAATTAATCGGGCTCGTAAAGCACTTTAAGCCGAGAACATCGGGAGTTAGGCCGTCGTTTAGATGGATAAAGTTAACTCAATTTTGATTTATGCCATCCGGCGACGTATTACCAAATGTAAATATGTTTTGTAGAAAATTAGAACGAAAATGTGCATGCGCTTCGTGTGAAATCCTTAACGGGGTAATAAAGCAGAAGCTGTTAAACAAGAGTCAGGACTATTGCCAGGAGACTAACATATAGCTCATGTGGCTCCACTACTCGTAACAGCAAAATCTATAATACTACAATGGTCGTTTCCAGAATGAGCGCTGTGTTTATAGGAATAAAATTGTAAATACATATAAGATGCTATAGTACTCACCCGAATATAGTAAACAAAGTTGCTGAATCCACTCATACCAAAGAGCGGTAACCGACAAACTGAACTGATTTATTCTCCATTGTAAAAAAAACCTGAAACAAAAGGTCAAATCAGTAACTCAATCCTCCCTTATCCGAGGGTCAACATAGCGAGTTTTATAAACACTACAATAACATTACCTACGATTTATATTGTGCATTGGAAGTGATCTTTGCAATTTCCTTATATTCGATCACGTCGTTAAACCTCATCGCAGAAAAGGAAAAATCAAATATACGACATGCAGAATTACTTCAATATTATGGTGAATAATAAAAGATGATTTTGTTCCGTTTACTCGTTGATGTCGAGAGCGATTTGTAAGCGCTGTACCATTTCTTAATACAGTGAAGTAATTCTGGGATAATGTAAATAAAAGCCTTAGTGCTATCCTCAAACTTGAAACATTCTAGCATTTTGTACAAATATTTGGTAACACAGGACGTGAATTGTAAAGGTGGCCCGCCAGCACGTTTTAAATTTTGTCAATTTCTGTAAGTACGTATTGTCAGCAGGGCCGGCTTTACGTACAAGCACGCCTCAGTTAAAATGTTAAATTGGTTTGGTATATGTGTAGTGTGATCTTTGGTAGGTATTTACTCTTCAAATAACGTTTACTAAAGAGGGATAGGGGCCCAATCCCTAGCTGGTGCTTGGGAGCCCCGCAAGCTCTAAATCCAGCCCTGATTGTCGGCAGGTATAGGCGCGTTTTTTATTACATTTTGATAGTTGGTCAGATTTTAATGGTGGTTTCTACAAATTAAGAGTTTAGAGGAGAATTTCTTTACGGTTGTATGGAACGCCGTTTTAGTATTTATACCAACATTTTATCATGTATCATTTTAAATAACAGTCAATCTTATGTCTCTAAATTTTTCGTTTGTTGTTTTTATCTTACGTATTAAGAGATTGATTAAAAAAATGTTGATTAATAAAGATGATACATGAATTAAAATGTTTGTTGATAATTTTAATTAGGCGCTAGTATACACGTAGTCAAATAGACTAAACTGTAGTTCCTGAAACTTCCGCACAATCAGAGATACGAATTAAAATTATCAACAATCATTTTAATTAATGTAACATTTTAATTCAACAATCACTTTAAATAATTCTTGCCGATTTTAACAGCATGAATTCATTTTACAATGTGCCATTTTAAATAACAGTCAATCGTATGCCTCTACTTTTTACGTTTGTTGTTATTGTCTTACGTATTAAATATGATTGTTTAAAAAATGTTACTTAATAAAAATGTGAAATGAATTATATTGTTATATTGAATGAGTGTATATGAAACTGTATTTCAACAAACAATTAATAACAAACAATTAAATTGAATTGCAAGAAATACTTCGATTAATAAAACGATTTTGTCCAACAAACATAAAAATTCATTCATTTTAAATGTGGAATTAAAATTATCAACAAACATTTTAATTCATCAGTCATATAAATTCGACGATTTGAAAATTGAAGCCGAATATTTTCAACAATCACTTTAATTCAACAAACAAATAAATTTTTATTGTTAGACGTAGTAAAAGAATCTTTTAAAATGATTGTTGAATTAATATGATTGTTGAATTAAAATGTTACATGAATTAAAATGTTTGTTGATAATTTTAATTAGGCGCTAGTATACACGTACCCAAATACACTAAAGGATAGTTCCTGAAACTTCCCCACAATCACAGATACGAATTAAAATTATCAACAAACATTTTAATTCATGTAACATTTTAATTCAACAATCATTTTAAATAATGCTTTCCGATTTTAACAGCACGAATTAATATGATTGTTGAATTAAAATGATTGTTGGGAATATTTGTACAACACTTCAATAATTGAATTAATATGATTGTTGAAGTAAAAGGTTTGTTCATAATTTTAATCCCACATTTAATATGAATAAATTTTTATGTTTGTTGAATTACTTCTAGTTAGTTATATTACTGTTCGTTTATGTATTCGTTTGTTGATTTGTATTGTTAAACTTTCGTTATACACATTGCTATATAATTCATACATCATTTCAATTAAGTGAAGTTTTTTAAACAAACATATTTAATGTTTCACATAAAAACAACAAACATAATAAATCGGGAAATAAAATTAACTGTTGTTTATAATGTTACATTGTAAACTTTCGTAATAAAAAGTAAAACGGCGTTCCATACGGTTGAGTATTATAAAATACACGGGGTTGTTTCATTACGGGGCTGGTTACTCTAAAACTTTGTTGTTTTTGTTGGTTTCCCAATAAATTGGTCGCTATATTAATATTTGTAAATCAATAGTTAAAGCTGCGTCACTGGTGGATTCATTTCGTGAGAAAGCTGGTAGCGCTAGTCTGGCGGGTGATCAGGTAGTGACCAAACGGCTGGCGCTGGGTCAGACTTGTTCGGTATCGAATCATTAAGCAGCCTGCCTGCAGAAATATGCTGAAACCATGGGTTCTGGCGAATGGCCTTTCTAAACATAGGCTTTATCAGAGGTTGAAGTTTATTGGCCAAAGAGTAAAGGGTAAAGATGGCCGCAGGGACTGATTAGCCACCATTTTGTAGGCGTATTCAGTAGAATGAAAATGTAGGGATTAAGCAGAGTGATTTTTCGGGAATTCCGATTTTGACCACAAGAGCGCTAGATGAGCGGTCCGAAAGAGATTAAACACGGGCTCGCGAAATTAATACGCGGGTAGCCGCGACGCATTGCGCTTGAATTCATCGATAGAAAAAGAAGTGTTGGGTGCGGGAAGTAACGAAAACACGAAGTTCTAAAAGCGCACCAATGAACGAGTTCAGAACAAGTGAAGTGTTCAAATCGCCATATCAAATAGAATCAAAATCCTCTAATAGAACTATCGGGACTTAATTTAAGTGCACGTTATGACCGAGAGCTTTCGTGGTAGACGAGGTGGTAGAGTACCTGCAATTAAAGTTTTTGTGACGTGTAACTGTACGAATGGTAAGTGGTGTAACAGGAAGTCAGTCAGATTACCAATAGCAGTAATGCAAAATCACCGCGAATTAGAACCTGCTGAATCTAAGTTTAGGATCACGAGTTGTTTGCCGTTAATTTTCATCGCCAAATTCGTTTCCCCATTAGAGTGAAATGCATAAAACGTTAGGCAAGAATGATATTTTAAAATAAGATAATCGCATTTTTACTATATTTATATGTTCAATCCATTACCGTGATTTTAAGGGTAAAAAAGAGTCAAACTTTCGTAATTTAAATAAAAGAAAGAGAGAGCCTTAAAAAACGCTCTCATCTTGTTAAAACGAGTTAATATTTTAAATTGAACCCATTTATAAGGTGATTAAAAGATTTTATTTTTACTTGCAATTATAAAGTATAAATGCTGGCTGGTAGAATTACTTGTGGCAACGTTTTTGACCCTTCATCCAGCGCATGGGCGGATTTAAGACTGCCTACGATTTAAATTTAAAATTAGTAGGAGAAAACGCTCTTATAGGTCCCTGCGACGTCAACGTATTTTTTCGTTTGCTCTATGGTCAGTAGAATGCGCCGTTGAATTAGTGTTAAAGAGTGGGATTGTATAAATATCAGTCATAGTGCAAGCGATCGGTGCAAATGCCGCCGTGTGCAAAGGTAGGGAGATGGTTTCATCTTTGATTAGTTAATGCAATCCAGATGACCGGGCAAATTTAACTAAATTATGTGTGCCTTTGCCTTGGACGAGGCGAGGCCAATGTAAAGAATTCGCATTCGCCACGTATTTAAATAGACAAATTCACATCAAAATTTACAAGTAGTAGGTAGCGATAGTTTGTATTGAACACAATTTCGATCTTAGTATTTGTCAATGTTGTTTTGTATCAGAATTATTAGATCTTTAGTTTTGTTTAAATAATCGCCTTATATTTTTAGTTTTGTTGTTCAGTAGAGTACGTTCAGGAAAGTTTAGGGACATGTAAAGTAATTGCTTTAAGTGTTTTATTAAAATTTATCTCATTTCAACCCGGTCTTGCGATAAGAAGTTCGTTATCGCTCTGTAAAAGCGAATTAATTTCGAAGTAAGCAGGTGTTCGCCGAAATTTAAAAAAACAGGTGTTCGTTTATGATAAACGCATATTGAAGTTAGACGAGAAGGGGAGCCGGGCGTCTTTTCTACTGAACTTGATTAGCTACTGTTAACAAAATGATAAAGATGCAGCACTGGAAAGCTAAAAGAAGGGAAGAGTGGTTACGTAGGCGTAGCGGACGAAAAATGATGCTTTTTGATTACATTTTAGGGAAAGAGAGTCATTCTTGGTGTTTGTAAAGTTTTTATAGAAGAAAGTCTACATATTATTCTAAGAGATTTTAATTCGGCGTTATAAAAGAGAAATATTCTAGCTCCAGTGTTGTGAGTTTGAATGTTGTCTATCAAAAATGTGCCCTTTCTTTAAGGTTGTTTCAAGCATCCGATAGAGGTAACTCATCCACTACCAAAATGCCGCTTTTACGTCAAATTCAGTTTTGTTTAAATCAAGAATCAAGCGAAAAAACGCAGGTTCAAAAGCATCATCATTTGGTGTTTATGTTTTTGTTTTTTACAGAAAATCACAGCTATTACCAAATGTTAGGGTTATTAATTCTTTAAGGTAATTAGAATTTTCTATTAAATTGTATTTGTTTCAATCCGATCGCATGTGCGAGGTACTTGTCCATAGGCCCTGAATGCACTGACTTCTTACAGCTTTATTAATTGAGTTTTGTCGAATGTGTGAATTGAGACCACATTACGACCCATGATAAATTATTATTCGTGCTCAGGATTATGCTATAATAGGTATTAATTAAGTTTGTTAAATAATTCTTTGGAATTGTGGGGAGGCGGTTAAGGGTGCGGTAAGGGGTCTCGTATTAACAAAATATAGGTCTTCATCGAGATTTTCATAATAACAGAGGCCAGATGTGTTCTCGTGAAATTTATAGTCAAAATTTACATACAAAAATTTGTGGTGGAGCTTTAGTTTTTTTTTTAGATAGCTGGACCGGTGTTTATGCACCGTGTGTCCTATTTTGGTTGAGACTGCAATGT